TGGCTGGTGGGTTTGAACTGCCAGCCTTCTGGTTAGCAGTCAAATGCCTTAGGCACTACGCCACCAGAATAGGCTTTTATCGAGTTCAGTCACAGGCACTTTGGAGTTGCTTTGTAACTGCAGCATATTCCAACCTGTCCTGTAATATAGTGTGGTATTCCTGTCTCACAAAATGCTATGGGAAACCCTAATTACCAAGAGAATAATTCAATTGTTTTCTTACATGTGTTAAAAATCCTTCTGAACCATGCTTTACTTCTGAAATATTTATTAGTGCTTAAGTTAACTCAACGCTTTCGAAGACTAGGAATCATATATATCCATGTACTCCATAGTTAAAGACAACACCAATTAGGATATCTTATCAGTAAGTATTATTCAATAAATGACTTAGGATAAATTAGCCATTTATCCCATTTGAGAAAAGAAAAAAAGCTGGATACCTATCCCACTTTCTTTATCAAATAAATTCCAAATGGATTAGAATTTTAAGTTATAAAAATGAAAGCATAAAATCACCAGTAAATTAAAAAAAAAAAATGTGGACTGGGCGATGCCTTTCTGAACATGACCTAAAACCAGCAGCTACAAAATAAAAGACTGATAACTTGAGTACATATAAATTTTCTTAAAACACCAAAACAAACTTCCTATTGAAAAGCAGGAAGTAGGTAAAAGTATTTGCAATATGTCATTTCTTTAATATGCAAAAATAACATACAAATTAATAAGAAAAAATAGTCTTATAGAAAAATGGAAAAAGTAAAACTAGCAGTTCATAGAAAGAAAAAAAAAACACTGATGGCCAGCAAACATACGAACATGTTCAGGCTTAGAAATAATTAAGAAAAATGAAAATAATGAGATATTACTTTTTTGCCTATCAGTCTGCCAAAGACAAATAAAACTGATAATACCTAGTGTTTATAATGGTATGAGTAAACTGGTACTCTTGCTTTTAGTTAAAAGTATAAATTGGTATAACCTTTTTGGAGGACAATATCTACCAAAATTTTAAATGTATACACCTTTTGAGCTAACACCTTCCAGGAATTTATATTACAGAAGTATTTGTGTAAGTGTACTAAGCTACAAAGTTCTACATTTGTATAGAGATACCCATTATAGAACTGTTTGCTAATTGCAAAAACATTCTGAAACAATTTAAATGCTCATCAGTAGAGGATTGATTAAATAAATTGGGGTACAATAACACAGCAAAATACTTTGTAGTTATTTTTAAAAACAAGGTAGTTTTCTATATAATCATATGAATTATGTCCAAGATATTATTGTCAAAGGGAAAAAGCTGGTTATGGAATCATCTGTTTAATAATATTCCATTTCTGTATATTAATGTGTTCGTGTATGGGTGTATATATATGCTATATAAAAATAATTTCTAAGAGTTTTCAAAGAAAATTAATATTGATTATCTCAAGAGTGGGTTGGTCGAGGAGGCTGAACCTAGAAAGGCAAAGAAAAGATCTCTCACTTTTACTCTATACGTTTCTGTACTGTTTGAATTTTTAAGTTATGAGCATGTATGAATGTTTTTAATAAAAAAAACTAGTTTGTAAAAAATATTCTTGAAAGATGGCACCAATGTTATATTATGAGATACTTTGTTACACCATTGTGTAAATATTTTTATCTTTCAGTTTGGCATCATGGAAGGAATGGAAAAGTTGGATGGAAGGAATCAGATCTGGGTTTCAATCCTAGCTCTGTTACCCATGCTGGTGAATCTCTCTGATTTTCAGTTTAATCGTCTATAAATAGGGGACAATAGTGTTCAACTTATAAGGTTCTCAGTAGCATTAGTTATGATGTATGTAAAATGTCTAGGCGTAGTGCGCAGCACACAGCTAACTGGTGTTATTATTATTGATGCTATGTCATGAAAACTGTGACATTCTACATACTGAAGCTTTTGATTACCACTTCATTTTTCTCCTCTAGTGATACTTGTCCTTCATGTCCCAAATATTAATTGCAGAATGGTACTAGATATTTTTCAAGTAACTGTGCTAGTGACTATTGGAAGAATGTTAGCACTAGCAACTAACAGGTAGTTGAGAAATTTGACTTGTTATTTTATACCAGTAATAACATATATACACAGCAGAAGAAATATGACAGAAGCGAATGTTAAATGAAGCAAGAACACGAGTACACAAATATTTAAGCTATGTTATTAGGGCACAACTTAAAGAAATTAGTAATTTCTGAAAGTCAAAGGAGCTGCAGTGTAGGAAATATTACAAGTCAACTAATGTATCATCTCTAAAATGGACTGTGGGCAAAATAAAAAACCTCATTGTTTGTAAAACTAAGTTCTCAAATTCAACCTGCAGTAACCATTACCACCAAAAGTTACTTCATCATCAGCCACAGCTCATAAGATAGATTTAAAAACAACATATACTCAAGAGTTTCATCAGCTTAGGAAGACCCACCACAAAATCCCAAGATAATAAAGCCTTTCTTAAAAGCTCTTTTAAATGTAATCTCTTGATAAACTCAATGAAAACTGCTAGAAATTTTTACCACATGCTTAGAAAGAGAAGTAACAGAAACTGAATA